TAGCACAAAAAAAACACAAAACTGAAAACTAAAAGAAAACACAAGAATTTCCGAAAAGTAGCACAATTCCGAACACAAAGTAGCACAAAAAAAAGCACAAAACTGAAACGATTTTTGGAAAAACCAAAACGAGATTTCCAGGCCAAGGAATTCTATTTCAAATTGATTTCCTGGCCGCCCCGCCCCCCCAGCCAGCCCCCAGGCCTCCAGCCTGGTTCACTGAAAAACATGATTTTGAAACCAAATTCCAGGAAAAACCAAAACTGTTTTGGTTGAACAATAGTTTTATGCCCCATCATAGAAAGATTGGACCTTCCGCTCATGCAACTAACCCTGCGCCCCTTCCCGGAAATTCCCTCAGCTGGCACTCAATCTCCCCTCTGATTCCAAGGAAAGGCCAAAAAATATTTGGTGGAATAATAATTTCATGCCCCATCATGGAAACACTGAGCCCTCCATTCATGCCACTGACCCTGCAGCCTTCCCGGAAATTCCCTCAACTGGCACTCACTCTTTTCCATGTAATGTCCAAGAAATGCGAAAAACTATTCTGGCGGAAAACGGTCTGGCGAGGGCTTGCCAGGCAGGCCAGGCCCCTGCAAGGACTGGAGGCCTGGGAGCTGGCTGGGGCTTTCCAGGCAGTGTTTTGTTGTGCTTGTGTTTGTGCTGACTGTTACTGGGTGGGGGCAGTAGCCAAGGTCTAGGGTTTATACTTTCCGTGCTGGTGATTTGAAATCCTATGGTGGATAGCACGAATCCTGCATCATCCTAACTAGCTAAGACCGTTGGAAGGATAATGTTGTACTAAGGCCATGCAGGTCTTGGCATATCAAGAGTATCTCATGTTGACAGAGGTTACCGTGGATTTAGGGTTTAGGGTTCAATCCCCATCCCAACTCCCTCTATTTCCCTAGTGTACCCCAAGAGAGCGCCCCCTGTATATGGTGGTTGCCACAAAAAGGGGCTCCAATATAGATAACAAATCCTTTTATCCTTCTGCCGGAGCCCCCCCCCAACAAAGGGACCGCCAATTTAATTTCAAGGGTCCATATGGGCAGTCCAGGACGGTTCTGGTGGCACCCTTATGGACCTGGCCATTTTTGGTGCAACTCGCCCTCAGCTTGTTCGCCTGGAGGCTTCAACTTCTTGCGGTTGGTGTAGGGGCCTGATCTTCGATTTCTTGTAGAAGTTTGGTATAGGCGACATTCAATAGACCCCAAGAAGATATCGGTAATTATTCGAAGATATCAGCAGTTATTCAGGCCTCACCAGTCAGTATTTCTTTAAAGGTGTGTAGGGGGATGGTGCCTAAGGTATCGGTAGGTCAAGGGTCCTCTCCATCAACTTTTTCATGAGGGTCCAGTTAGTGAAGGCTCGCTGGGCCGCAACAGACATTGATCAACAGCCGCCCTGCCACCTCAGAACCAACGATGCTGCCCATCCCTGACTAAAAACAGTAATTGCTAAGTAACAATGGTAACTATAGCTAATAAATGGAACAGTTGTACGAATAGTAATATGAAGATTAGTAACAATAGCAATAATGCGAGATGTTGAATTTCGGCTGAAACCACATGCATAAACGACAGGTCTCTAACATCATCCCCGTGGTAGGGCACAAGGAGTTAGCACCTGGTCATAATTAATTAACAGTGTACTATTTTCTTGGGCAGCCGATGCAGGCTGTACAGCTTAAGCCTCCAAGCGCCAGTCAGTGAACGGCGACGGCTGTATGCTGATGAGGGTGGCGGTGTCAGCAAAGACCTGATGAAAGAGGCCATGAAAGCACAGCTTCACATCATGCAGCTCACAGACTCTGCGCCTGGGACTTCGTGAGGAATTTCCTTCCAACCGATATAGGAGATTCTGAAAGTTATCCCTCGAAGCCGTCTGTGGTTCTACAAGCAATTCTGTACCCTCCCCCGGACTACGCGCCCTGCAACAGGTTCCGTCTAGCCCCCTTCGACGAGCCTTCCGCTTATTTAGCTCATGTTATGGATCAATGAGGCTAACTAAGGGGAATCCAAGTGGTGGCTAGTTCAGGACCCCAAATCCTAAACCCGAAACGCTAAGAACCCATGACTCATGATGGTTCTGGGGATGATGCAGCCTGGACTAGCGGGCTTGAAGTGCCAATCCAGGTGAATGCTGCGGCATCCCAGATCGAGAAGGTTAAATTCATCGTGGCCATGGAGGACGACAGGCTTAGGCGTTCAGATTTTGGGCTGAGGGTTTAGGATTTAGGTTTTAGGACTTAGGGTTTTGGGTTTAGGATGTAGGGGTCAGGGTTTAGGGTTGTTGGGTTGTGAGACAAGCATTTACGTAGGATTAAGGATGGAGGGGTTCCGGGTTTGGGGTGTGGTTACGGAGGACCGCTGCTTGTCCACCATTTGCCTTGCTGCCGCCCTTGCAATCTCTTTCATGCTGCGCCTTGGATCTCCACTTTGATGCTTTTGCACAATCTGGGATTGAAAATGGACCTTTTCCTCAATCTGTGATTCCAGTTTAGTCTTGCTTGTCTTCTCTCGAGCCGTCTACTGGTCTGTCCCTCGGCAGTTGGAGATGTAAAGTAAGGTGCCTGCCCGCGCTGATGCTGCATTGGATCATGCTCTCTGGCTTCTGGAGGTGCTGTCTACATGGGTGGTTTAGGGTTTAGGGTTTAGGTATGGCTGTCCCAGAACCCAGCATGGCTCAAGTTACAGGGGCTAGCATTCTTCAATCTCTCGACCCCATTTGAACACCTATTATCCCCCATATTAAGTAGATAGAATATGGGGTATATGGGGATCTTACTACAGTATATACCCAAAGCCATATTCTATCTACTTAAAGGGCACTATAAGCCCATGTCCACACCACAACACACTAACCCTCTATGCATCCTCAAACATTTAGCGGCCTGAAGGTACTTACTCTGGCTGCCTGGATCTTGCGCGGTACTGCCAAAAGCCCTTCGCTCACCCATCTTCCAGTTTCTGTCAAAACTTGAACAGCAACTCTTCAGACTTCTTGGAAAGATGACTTATGTTGGGGATCTGCGGCTTGCGGTTTGGCACCCTAGATTAAGTGACATACAAATTGGAGTGGTGAAGTTTGTCGGTTGTTTACAGTTGGGCCGTCTTTTTCATGGAAAGCGAGTCCCGAAGGTATGGACTCTGTACAGCTTCCCTTGAAAAACGCTGAAGCCAAGGCAACGACAAGAGCTCATGGGCAATGACTTGGAGAGGATTCTCGAGGGCTTTTGGCAACGTATGCCAAATGGTACAGAGGCCTCGCACTTGTACCTCTTCAAGGAGTACGTGCTTTGCGACGACACACCCGCGACTGCACAGTAGACATCGTGGACAGACGTCAATCGCTGGCTCGATTGAAAAGTGAGCCTATTGTGATTCAGGGAAGAGCGCAAAGGAAGTAACCTCGGGGGGCCTTCGTGTACTTTCGTCTGGGCCACCTCCTCCCCCCAACCTTCGACTAAGGGCCCCTGCTTCGTCATGCTTTGTCTTAAGGTTCATGGAAGATTGCCTTCGTAGCCCGTTTTTTCTTCAGCGGAAGACTTCTGATGGCCTGGGTTCGCAAACATCTTGTGGCCCTTCGACTAAGTTTGTCAAAGCCCCCCTGCCTTCGACTAACTTCGTCTTGGCATCGTGGCTGCTCGAAGACTTCCTCAGAGGCTGCCCGGCGTTCCCCCTCTGACCCCGTTCCCCGTGGCTTTGCCTCTTGTGATTGCATGCCTGTCGTTGTGACTGCTGTGTTATCGGCATAGTGGTTCTGCCACCGTAGGGACCCCACCCAAATGCTCCCCAAATTATTTGAACATGTGGATGCCCTGATACCTATGCTAAGCGATTCAGGAGCCCGACATTTACCTCCACAAGCTTCTTGGGTGGTTTTCTTTTGAAACAACGCATGTCGAAAGAGCTGAACTACTTCTTTTTTTTTTGACGCTTGAACTTTGCAGTTCCCCATCGTGTGTCAATGCGAGATAAGCACTGGACGGTACACATAAAGACCTATCTGGGACCCAGGTATGTACTTGGAGGGTCAGACGAACCTAGTAAGTAAGTTGATAATGGGGATAACTGGGGTTGTCATATGGATGGTTCGTAGGGGTTATACGTATACTTACTACGCCCGGCTGACCCTCCAATTATAATTTGAGAAAGAGCAGCAGCAAAGGAAACACCAGCAGTTAGCACACATTAATGTTACTTATAACAGGGTTGCTGTTAAAGACTTTAAAGTGAGTTATTACAGTAAGGAAACCCTACTATTTACGCATAGTATGGTAGCGTAATTTAAGACCCTCAGCCGCAACCCAGGTAAGGCTAGTAATGCAGTTATAAAGTCAGTAAGCCCTAAACCCAAATCCCTGAAACCCTAATGACCCCTCGTCATCCGTATTCATCCTTGTCTCTCTTTCTCATCCCTGGCCTTCAAGATCAAGATAAAATGTGAGATTTCGGACTAAAGTTACGGTTTGGGATTAGGGGTTTAGGGTAGTATGTATGTACGGGAGGGGACACCTAAAAGGTGAGGATGATGGACCTTGAACAAATATCTAGGTACTCCAGTAGTACCCTTTTGCCCTTTTTATTTTGGGGTCTCCTTATTAAAGCTGAATAGTAGGAAAAAGGGTACCCTGATTATTATGGGGTTCCTGTGGAACCCAGTATATCACAACTTCTGTCCAGGGCTCCTTTGGTACGTTGTCAAAAGTCTGGTCCCGTTTCGGGTCTTCTAGTGCAACACGACGCGTCATGTGTAGAGGACCCGAAGCGGTACCATGGTTTCAACAACCTTGCATATAAGAAGCGCGTTGCTTCTAGCAAGGTCTACCTAAACTCCAAGAGTATTTAAAAATAGCCCTAAGCCCATAACAACAGCCATAAAGGCCATTATTTTACATACCTTTGGGGTCCAGGTAAACTTCAAGGCTGGGTTTCAGGGTGTACACGGTTTGGGGTTAGAGTCCCCCTTAAGTAGATAGAATATGTGGTCTATGGGGCTCTTATTGTAATATACCCAAAGCCATATTCTATCTACTTGAGGGAGACTATAAGAATTGAGCATATCTGCTTGTCGGTTCTTGTCAGAGTCAGCCATGGCACCGTAAGAATGTAGAATCTGGAATAATCAGGAACTCTGCCCGCTTGCAACTTGAAAGTAGATAAGAAAAAACGGCCTGATCTTGGCTTCCCGGGCTCTTACACCCCAAGCTCTGCATCCCATACCCTGGCATCTACTGTTCAAAGTGCTTCCCTACAGTTAACCAAAAGTTTTTCGTTGTTCCTGAATGTAGTAGGGAGTCCATTGAAATGCCTTCAAGAGGAGGATCCTGCTGGGAGAAATCCTGATCCCAATCTCGTAATCCAAAAGCCATGCTCTCGTTCTGTCCCTGTACGTACGTCTACATGTGTACACACACACACGTACATACAACACACTCATATACATATATATATATGTATGCATATATATATATAGCTACGGCACCGATATGTATATATCTCATTGTAAAGGGTTCATATTTTTCGGCAAAACTAATCCCTGTACCTAGACCCTCATGCTCTGCCCCTGTTTTAGGGTACGGGGTCTAGGTATTGCCCATGTACCTTGATTAAAAGCCCGATGTCCTAAGCCCGAAATTATTGTAGTAGTTTCCATTTTCTTTTTCACTCCCCTGTATAATTATCCCCTTACATCGCCTATCTGATTCCATTTCCATGTCATCTTCCACCTCCACTTCCATTTAGTTCCTCATTAAACACGCAGTTAGAGCCCTAAATCCTAAACCCTAGGAGGATCTGGAGTATGCCGGTATTTCCCAGGTACCTCGACCGAGCCATGTATCGCGCGAAGCTCGCATGCCCAGAACTCTTGCAGAACCAGGCCCCATCTAAACCTTTGGGATCTAGGGGCTAGCCCTCCTTGAGCTTCTGGGCTGAGGGTTTAGGGTTTGAGGTTTAGGGAACTTATGGAGTTTTTAGTGGAGGATCTGAAGAGTTTACTGGTTCAGGGTTAGGGATTGAGCTGCATGGGCATCAGGTGCCTATAGAGTTTATGAGATAATGCAGGAGGTACAGTAAGAACAGCATGAGATTTCTGGTGTGAGGACTGGGATTCCGCGGTTTCTGACCCATGCCCAGGGCTTACCCAAAAGCTCCTGGGTAGTTCCTGTTTTGTGGTAAGGACCTTAAACCCCAGACCCTATGTTATAAACCCTATTCCATAAGACATTACCCAAAAAATGGAGGAACATAGGAGGATTTGGGTGCCGAGGATGGTGTTTGGTGCCAAGCAGCAGTTCGGCTGTCCTGTTCCACTCCTTTACCGTTTAGGGTTTAGTGCACGAAGAAAAGCATGCTTCAGTGTATCGACTTGAGGCGGTCATTTAGAATGGATCTGAACCTAAAACCCTCTAGACTCTAAACCCCCGAGGTCCATTTATCCGAGCAGGTTCGGTGAGAACCGTTTCCGGCTTAGCTTCCACATGCCATAGGTGCTGGAGAGATTGGGATTTCTCCAAACAGGGAGCCCCAAAATGACCCCGGGGGGCTATGGGCTCTAGGGGCCAACTATCGCGGGACTATCTTGACAACTGCCCAGCCCCAAAACATTCATCACGTAATTACAGCCTACGCTATGCTTCAGGTGGTCCACCCACCAATAGTGGCATTATAGGGATATATAACATGCTTGGAGGGTCAGGGGGACTTAGTAACTAGGTCAATAACCCCTATAACCCATATTTAGTAACCCCAGTTATCCCCCTTAATCGCAACCTACTTACTAAGGCTCCCGGACCCTAAACCCTAAACCTCAAACCCTTCACCCTGATTATTAACCTACTTATTAAGTCCCCCTGACCCTCCAAGTATTCATTAATAAGGAATCCGAATGACCGTGAAGCAGCCCGGAGGCTGCTCTCCTGGGCTAGGGTTTAGGGGTTTAGGGTTTTCGGGTTTAGGGTTTAGGGTTTTAGGGTTTAGGGTTTTAGGGTTTAGGGTTTTAGGGTTTTAGGGTTTAGGGTTCAGGGTTTTAGTGTTTAGGGTTTCGGTTTGAACAGGATTTTTCCTGTTTATTGCCCTTCACGAGGCGTATAATCCCTAAGCCACAAGAAATACATAAACAACACAAAACAAGCAAATAGATAGATTGAAACACATACTTGGGACAAATGCAAATAAAAACAAAGAGGTAAATAGAGAAAAGAGACAAATAACAATTAATACCAAAGTAAGTAAACAAAAGAATAGATAAATAAATACATATATATATATATATATCTCTCTCTCTCTCTCTCTATCTCTCTCTCTCTCTCTGAAGGGCCCCCAAACCTACATGACCATCCCAAAGTCCCAAAACCTGAAGCTGCCAAGCCCCTGGCGTGTCAGGTTCCTCCCGACCCACGCTGCAAGGAGATACAGCAGATCTTCGAGGAGTTCTATAGGGCTTAGGGTGTGGGGT